CTAAAAATTTTGCATTCCCCCCTATTTTACTGGTAAAAATTTTTCCGATCCCCCCTAAATTTCACCTAAATTTCACCCCCATCCCCCAGCCATACATTATGAACGCAGGCTAATATTGATTGGGCTCAATTACTGTCTTAGGAAACAATCGTTCACGTGTGGACAGAAAACTGCTTGGATCTGTCCGAGGATCGAGCCCACATCGTGGTGAACCCATGTGATGGAAGCAAGACGCAGACGTGGAGATTCTCTAGATACAAGAAAGACAACAATCACACTAAAACACCTGAATACCTTTAATGATAACATATCAGATATATCATCCATTATCACAAATATTAATATAAATAACTTGATGACTAGGTCTAATAATTCGGTATAAAATATCAGTGCTATTCGTGTTTCTTCAAGCACATTTTTCTCGGAAAAAATGCGGTATGAGTTTTTTTTGCAGAATATTTGAGATTAAGAGTTTTTAAAATAATATATTATTGCAAAAAGTATAATGACACTTGAATAATGAAATATCAGGAGAAATAATATTATAAATTCAGAAAATATTTATCCAATATTATTATTACAAATCTGTAATATTTATCAAATGTTTCATTCAAGCTTCATTGCTTCAAAGCCATTAGCACAAATGTTAAAAATCATTTGTTAGATTGATAGAAATATACTTCCAATATAGATAAATAGATATTTTTGTGAAATTAGTTTATATTAATTGAAATAATATATTTTGTTCGATAAATGCCTCGACATTAAAGTGAAAATCGCTCAAATTTGGATTCAGCTGAAACTTCCTAAGAATACTATTTAAAGGTCCAATAATCACTGTATGAAGTGTTTTCTCGATATTCAGGACGAAAGTATGACATTTTTACGATTATTTTTTGGAGTCTGTGACGTCATACACTAAACATCGAACATCGCTCCACACATTTCTTTGTAGTTTTTGATCAAAATATCAGTAGTAAAGGKAGAAAGAAATACCCAAACACCCCAAAATATAAATTATAGTCACAAKTAATGTGAAATAAGCACATTAGCCACCCTTTGGGCTTCTTAGGAATCGCGACCTTATAGTATTTACATTATAGCCTCCCTTATAGCCTGTTTCATACGAATATATGTTTCCGACCTAAAATACCACTCTTTCATTTCTTTTTTCTTATCAAAAGTAACTAATATGTCAAGGTGTTAAGATTGTCAAATAGTTACAAACTGTAATCTTAAAAATCATGTCATAAGTTACAATTTTACCTACCTATAAATAAGTAGTTTTCTAAACTCTTTTAAAATCTTGTAGGTTGTCAAAGTCTCCGTTTAATTTCATAAAGAAAACCAGTTTCTAAACATAAGTTGAAGCCCTCGATTTTATCCATAGAAAGTACGTTGTCAAAATTCTCATAAATGAATGATTCCATAAGCTGAAATGTTTACTGATTACGTCACGTTCATGAGAAGTTTTCTCTCAATGACAGGAATCTGACGGAGGAAACCAATCCTTTGATTGGCTGATAAACAGTGACGTCATCGTGTAGGAGTGCGCGCATCTAAAATGAAGATTAAATATATAAAAACATTTTTGAGAATGATTTCGATCCTTCGAGTGTGAAATAGAAATATTAGCCCAAAGAACTAGATTAGTTAACTCGTGTTGATATATATCGTACAAGTCTCTACTACATTTCGTTGTGTAAGTTAGAATGAATGTTGACCTTTTGACGGGAGACTTAAGTCATCTTTTTATCTGTTTTTTCTTAAATTTTCAATCACTTATTCTTTCATTTATCGATGCGCTTTTGATAACACTCGTATAAGAGGATGAACAGAATAGGAAGACAGGTTCCCCGTTACCCTTAGTTACTGGTCTTTCCCCTAATTCTCACCCCACCCCTTCCCTCCCTGCACCACCTCTCCCTGCACCATCTTCATATCGATGACAAGACCATGGAAGTCCTTCAGTATCGTATACGAACTTACTCCAAAGGTATTTAATATCATCACGCGGTCTTTCTTTTTATAATCAAGCCTCAGGGACACGCCTTCTGTAGACGTTTTGTGGAGCTTATTGGCCACATTAGGACATTAATTAATATATATATAAACATAATCTAATCTTGTTATGATACCACAAACAAGATAAGCTTATATATCATATCATATTATCTGCTGGAGTCACTTGGACTTCACCACAGCTTAGTTTTACTATCAAACCACGAGGATTACATTTACTGATATTTACAGATGCAAACTTCTGCCCTGTAGGGCCAATATACTCATAAAATCTATTTTCTATGCAATAAAAGAATTGTAGACTATAGAAAGAAAATATAACAATCATGATTGTACACACTTTGTGACTACAAAGGTAGTACTGCGCTTCAGTCAAAAACCTTGATAAAATATTTATATCCACTTGAATCGATATAGATACTATTGGACGGAAAGGAATGAATGTGGATACCATATGATGAATGATATCATATCCTATTCTATACTAGGTTCTATCGATTAATCGTACAATAAAAAGCAGCCAGGGAAAAGAGAAAGAAAAAACGAAAACGTTTAATCGCGTATCGTGAAAGGCAATGATCTACATCGTTTTACCTTTCATAGTTCTAATATCTTTGCCAGAATGTGTGTATGCGTTTGACCCCATTAAAGATGTTTTCCAATATGTGAATTCATTCATCCGTTTTTGTGGTTCGTTAAGAAGCCACAGCAGCTTTATTATCGATCAAACCTTGCTATCAACCAAACCACAAAAATACACATTTTTGGAATAAATTATCGGTTGTCAGTTAAGTAGAAGATTGTCGATCTTGATGGGGTAAAGCTGGTAGGGTTCTCACTTTGTATGTACGCCGTACGTGAAAGCATATTGACCATTATCATGTAAGAACTTTTAGCTGCGACACGCTAGTGTGTGTCTTTCTTCTCTCCCGAGTGACGCGCGCATCACAAGAAACAGGTAAAGTTAAATATCGTTTTGGTCAATATACTTACGCTTATCAATTCAAAAACCTATTTATATAAGATTTTTTAGGTGTTCTATACTATTTTTATCTACTTGAGACCATCAAACCTAGTTTCTTACAAATACCTTTATCAGTGACTCACGTCAGTACAATATATAGCAGCTGACGTGATGAATTAAAGGGAGATGAGATAGCGATTGCATATACACCTAAAAGTGAAAACTTCACCTAGATTCTTTATTTCATGACGTCTGAGTTAAAAACTGCAAAAAATATTCATTGTCGAATTCTAAGGAAGCATTACAAAAACAAAATATCAAGGCAATATTGCCAGTTCCAGTAAGGCACGGGTTGTCACAACCATTTATTGTTTTAATGACCAAAAATAGTAGCGGCTTTGTAGTGATCATTTTTTACCGATATCGACTGAAATACGATATTACTGAGCATGTACACCATCCGACATGACAGCCCCCTTCAATACCCAAAAGGGCAAGATAGAGGTGTTTAATTTAATCAAAGCAATGCTTGATAATCCATCCATAATCTTGGGTAAATCTGAATACAGTTTGTTCATGTCATGTCATGGCTGTGAATGTCTCCACCCCGCCTTACCCCTCCCCCCCAGTAATGGTCAGTTGTGGTTTAGATTTTAACACGGTTTACGAAGCTGCATCTTTGTAAGTTCATTGGCCATCATGTATTACAAATAGTTAGCACCTGCCCAAATGGCATGTGCCGCTGACTATGGTACGATAGCACTTCTAGTACAAAATGGAAAATGACTTCCGATCTAAAATAAAAAGCAAATCGGCTAAGGACTTTTCTTGGGTATGTAATTTGTCGTTGATAATTTTACTTTGCAAGGTGAAAGATACTTTCTTAATAGCCGTTAAAGGTTAGCATCTTTTCGCATGGTGGCCTAATGAGCAACTGGACCCGGACCCGTGCAATAGTGAAAATTCTTGTCGTGCCATTGACGTAGCCCTCTTTCCATCCGGCCTTTCGAAGTCCATGGTATTTACGAAGAAAATTCCGTATTTGACGCAGACTACAGAGACGTTGCACTGTGTGTGACTTTTACGATAAATAAAACATTAATTACTACACTAAATAGTTTAAATATCGCAGCTCTTATTAGTGAAGTGAGAATTTCACTAACTAACGAACTTGTGGTTGGAGGAAAAGCACTTTTGATGAGTATCTAGTCCAGTCCCGGACTCCGTTTCGGTCCGCTCCGACAGGCTAAGGTCACGACTGGACTAAATACTGAGTATCAAGAGAAAAAAAGAAAGTAACAAGGAATGCAATTTCTTCATCTCACATTCCAACACAAGGAAGATGAGATGATGTTAGCGGCATTAAGATAATTTATGAAACTATGAAAGCAGTGCGCCGCAGCATTATTTCGTCATACTTTGCCCGCGAGTTGGGTAACCTAATTCTCGTGTGAGCTTTTTTTCTCTTATCTGTCCTTGATATAATCGTTCTGATAGCGTGAATCTAGCAAGCCCGGGGCTTTTGATTTTTGCTTTATGGATCTCCCACCCGTTACAAACCCCATTCCATTGATTACACGCAATCACATCGTAATCCTTTATAAGTACTAACAATAGTCTTTTTCCCAAAAGCATTGATTCACCCGTGAATATTTGCCAGTCAGTCAACGAAGCAGGAATTTATCCTGGCTGAACTTGATGAACGATCTTAATTGACTTCTAACCGACTGCGTTAACCGTCAAGAAGACTCTTTATCATTCAAACAAGGCAGATGTACAGCGAACCTTTAGGTAAGAGAGTTCAGACATGAGATCATCCCAGATGGAAAGGTTTGTGACCCAAAGGGCTCATAGAATATTCAGTAACGCTACATAACTCGATCGGCAGTTCCTTTGGTTGTTTGTACTGCAAAACCGCATTATATATGGCAGTCAGTCTTCAAAACCTTTAGGTTATGGATTTTAAAACACGCCAGATAAAATATAGAGTGATCTGCTCAAAGTATGTCGACGTGCCAGTATATTTCAGTCTTGTTTACTACTGAACTGATTTTCACAAAGATTTGTGTACTGATCGATCGTACACGTCGTAGTTTGCTCAGTTCAATCTCAGTTGCTGCCAAAATCGAAAGCTAGCTAAGGCAATTATAAAGTATTTAACGATATCCCTATGACTTTCTCAGTTCTGGTGTTTTAACTTCTATGAAGAAAGCAGTTACTCCTGGTATAGGATTTGTTCTATTTGCGAAAACTGAAGCAAAGTGACTTGCCTTAATTCGAGATACTATTTTGATTGTCAAATTATCGATGTTTTTAGCCTATCTTTTCATCCCTAGTGATTTTTTTTAAATTTGTAAAAATAGGCGACTAGTTTTGATTGGTGAAGTCATCATATATATAACCGTGAAATTGAAAAAAACGTTGTCGGGCTAAAAAGGTTACAAATCATCTGAGTCCGCTTAGATAGTTCAGTTAGCTCGAATCAATGTTCGACTGTTTACCCAGAACACCCGTCGGCCTTAGATTCGATCATTTTCAACCTTTAGACCAGACAAAGTTTTTTTCAATTTGTTCAAAAGAGCATGTAAATCTTTATAARTATTTATTTGTGCTCTCTTGATTATTAATTTGGTGTAATACAGAAAATTAGTTAGTCAAGTTTTATTCAAGTTTATCTAAAAGTTCACTCATGAGCCCAGTGACATTGTTATCTGGCTGCAGATTGTAGAACCCGTCAAACCATGTCTACCGGTCTTGGCTGCAAACCAGATACAAGTCACCAGTTCAAGGACATAGAACGCCTGGCACAAGACATGAGACTGCTGGCCACGATGCCTGAAGTATACGATGTGCATTTCATCGTTGGTAAAGATAAAGAATGTGTTGGTGGAGTTAAAGCTATACTTGCTGCAAGAAGCCGGTAAGTTCTTTGACAAAAAGCTGTCAATCATTATTTACTTTGATGCGGATCAGAGAAGATATTAAAAACCTTGAGTTACGTCTTTCGATGATCTGATGCACAGCGCAAGCTAGGTCCGCTCTTCAATGAGCTCCCCCCCCCCCCCCCCCCCCCCCCCCCCCCCAAGAACACCCTCACTATAATACCGCAGCTACTGATAAAGAGATTTATTTACTCATATATAGATGATGTTATGTTTTTTTCAGAGTATTCTTCAACATGCTGTTTGGTGGTCAAAGTCTTCGTACGACAGAATCAGGCACACCTAAAAAGAGCAACAAGAAAGAGCGCAACTTCGCCTTCCTGAAGCGGGAAAGTCAAGTAAAAACAGAGCAGAAGGCACCAGCACAGAAATGCTTGACTATCCCGATTGAAGACTTTGAAGTGGACGAGTTCGCACACTTGATGGAGTTTTTACACTGTGGACGGTGTGTTCTCGACTCGCGATGCATTGTGGGGATACTAGCCGGTGCAGATTTTTTTGCGGTTGAAGATTTACATACGGCAGTCGTTAAGTTTGTTGATAAATGTATCACTGTTCGTAATGTGTGTACTTTCTTTTGCGATGCTGAGAAATACATTCAACTCAAGTCGATCAAAGCACTTGTTCCCAAACTTCTCGAGTTTACAGCCACCCACGCCCATGAGATCCTGGGTTTGGCATCATTCCGCAATCTTCCACAACACGTTGTTCGACTTATTATGTCGCGTAAGGATCTGAACGCCACCGAGTGGGAGAAATTCACAGCTGTGGTATCCTGGGGTCATGCGTACTCTAACATCCATAACGTTAGCTTACAGTCTGCCGTAGAACCGCTGATCGATTGTATTACTTTTTACAAAATACCTACAATGCAATTGATGCAAGAAGTCCGAAAAAGAAATGTGGTTCCTGATCATGTGATAATGAAAGCCTTGGCGTATCAAGCAGATCCAATGAGCGTTAAGCTCAACAAAGCTAAGCCAATCAACGACCGACCTGCCAACCAACCCAAATCGCCACGAAAAACAGAATCTAGTTCCCAGGCCTGCATTGACATTAAAAGCATCTCCGAGAATCATCAAGAGGAAGTTGTAGATGTTAAACTTGATCACCTAACGAAAGGTTGAGCTGGGTGTGATTGGGTGTGTCAACACGATAAATGGCCACTTTATCCTAAAGGGACGGTGGATAACTTGATGTACAGATCAAGTTGCAAGATGATCAACATTCAAAAACTGTACAGAATACAAGATTATTTTTGCATTACTCATACTCTTTATTGTGTAAATAACTTTCAACCTCGTGTAAGGATGAACGAATAGTAATGACGAGGGTAGATTCAATTGTTTCAACATCTTTATTCCTTTTCCAAAGTCAGTTGATCAAACCTGGTAGGAAGACCTTTTCTGAGCTCGATAAATGGGATTCATCGTGGTCTAACTTGGATACAAGCAAGACCATTCAAGTCATGATGAACAAAAGATGTTTGTACCTAAGCTAGACCACAATGCACCATGTTTCCTATCTCAGAAAAGATTGGATGACTACCGTACGGTACATGTAGATCTGATTGATGGACGAGGAATGATAAATTATGTATTATTATTATATTATAGTTTAGTTATTGCTGATTGGCCTATTTCAAAACGTTGTCATCGAGAAAATATGAGATAGGTCATCTCAAGATCCAAGAATAGCTGGAATGACTTATGTTTCTGTTTCTTATTCTGGTCAAGAACATGGACCTTAGTGTTGAGACTGATTCAGTGTTTTTTGTATTCAACGAAACCATTTCCATGTCGGAATGACCTATCACCTATCACCTTTGGCAATGACAAAGTTTTTTGAAATAGGTTTGTGGGTGTGGCTCGTTGGTCGTGCAGGATAACATCATGACAACAATGTTGATTGAGGAATGATATTTGATATGGTGAATTGGATGATTTGAATATAGCAAAATGAAGAATCCCCTAACAATAGTTGTGTCATTAAAAACCGATGCTTCCTTAACAAGAAAAGGTTGTTCTCTGTGCTTTGATGCTCAGCCATGACAGGCGTACCATAAAACAATTAAAATATCAATAAAAATTTAATCTATGGAGCCATAAATTTCTTTACAGGGAGAGCGATGCAGGTCAATTTGGAGGGAGGGAGGAGGGCAGAATATGCGAAGCGAAGGAATAGGAGGGGGAAAGGGGTACGGTTGATTAGGTAAGGCACATTACTCTATTTGGACATGAAAGACTTGGAATTAAGAGTACTAGATTGAAATAGGTGTAGAGCATTTTTCAAGTCTCCATTGCTTCATCATCATCATCCTCATCATCCATGACATCACCATTTTTTTCAGGATTCATATTTGATAATAGTTCATCTATGTGTTGTAGGAACTGTTCGTCTTCACACCCTGATTTTACGGAAATCTGTTAAAGGAAAACCACTTTTAGGCATAAGAAAGTTCAACCTTAAAGAAGAGAATTGGGAACAGAAAAGACAACCACCATCACCAACTTGGTTGGCCTTTTGGCACTACTATGTCAGGTGAATCCCCAGGATGATAGAAACAGTTTGATTCCCGTGGATGCCATACATGAATAAAGGTTTTCTGATGACCACCCCATTTATTTCAAAATGCATTCAAATTCCTACCTCTTTTGCCTTTTCCAAGCTAATTTTCTTGCTGGTATTGTCTTGTCCAGAAAGATGGTACATCCAGCCCAACAAGTACCACACCTTGGGAAATATAAAAAGAGAATGTCTAATGTCATTTTTAATGAGTGTTGAGCGTGACAGCTAGTAATCTTCAAAAAAAAAAAATCATGGTCCTGGATCCATGTTTTCATAATCTCAGTGGTAGCCATCTTCAGATTCTAAAGTCTATGTGCAATGTCACCAACCACAGTAAGAACTTAATGATGGAAATTACTATTCAGTGTCATTTCACTATTCTGGTTGGCCATAATAGAGGGGCTAGCATATACAGTTGAATGGTGTTGTCTTTCCCTCAAGAAGTCCTACAGTTCTCTATATCTATATATCATACAGTTTTAGTCCTACAGTTTCCTATATCTATATATCATACAGTTTTAGTCCAACAGTTTCCTATATCTATATGTAAATACCTGAGGATCTTCATCATTTTCTTCCAGCAAAGTTTGTAAGACAGTTCCCGCTACCTGTTGAAATCATGATCGATAATAATGACTGTTCCACATTAATCAGTTTTGGTTTCATAAAAAAACTCTCTTTGAAAGCACTAAAATAAATGTCTCATGGACTTGATCTATCCTTGATACTGGCATACTATGTCATCTTTAGTGGGTCGGTGTCCACTGGTAGAACGAAGCTTGGGATTGGACAAAATAACAAAAACAAAGAAAGCATGGATTATGGTGAACAATGTGTATTGTTCTACATGTGAGCTGCGTTCTTTGTTTTATGATCTCACCATTCATTGTTTGTTCATCCACTCCCACAAGGCTTCGTTCTGCCGGTTGTGGATTACCCTCTTTAGTAGATTCCAAAACAAAAACATGAAATACATGAAACATACAAACAACAGCATACCTCAAAATCTTCAAGCTCTAACAACAGTTTAGCAGATGTGAGTCTGCTCTCATAAGATGGCATGGGGACCTAGGGAAAAGAATTGGATGCATTTTATACGGTTATTTGTAGAATACAATAGAAAACCAAATTAAAGCTTAAGATAAAAAGATGAACAACATTTTCAGAGGAAACATATCTAGACCTTGCATAGTGAGTGGAAAGGTGATAGTTCACAGATTGAGTCAYGCTTAGAAGATCATTTTTGGATGTGGGTGGATGTTTTACTTAAAAGTACTTCCAGTTGTTTGGTTGGTAGGCTGTTTAATACTAATGTTGGTGTGGGTAGGAGTGTGGGTAGGAGTGGTGTCTGATCTAGTAGGCTGTTTATAGACCCCTTGCAGCACTTTGGAATGCAGCTCAATCTGGGGGAAAAACAATAGTTTCCAATTCTCAGGAGATTGTAATTCTTTTGTTTTGTCTCCCAGATCAAGCTGCTTTGATGTGACATGGGGCAAGGGATCTACACCATATACTAGATCTTTCCTGGACATTGGCACATCTTGACATATAGTATTTATAAGCACTGCAGGGGCAGGTATCCAGGACTTGAGATGGGGATTACTTAAGTTAAACCCTCTTCTGTACGAAACTTTTTTTCACTTGGTTCTACATTGATGATACTTCAAGCTCTTAAATTTAATTTCTGACAATTTGAAATGCAATGGTTTTTATGCGTTTCCAGTGGTATTGGCCCAAGGTAGCCTTCTTCTGGATCTACCCCTGCATTGTAGACTATATGGGCTATTTCAATACCTGGTCTGTATCATCATCATCTTTTCCAAGCCATAAATCAAGACCCTTTTTCAACATTGTCTGGGCATCCTAAAGAAGAAGAAAAACATGTCTTACAAAAATTTCATAACTTACCATTGTTATGGTCACACTGCATATACACTTAGTCATTTCAATACCCCCATTAATTGACTGGTACACTATTGCAATTAGCGCCACTGGGTTAGCTCAGTCGTAAGAGCATTGGTCTGTTGTGCGGAATGTTGTGGTTCAAGCCTTGGCTGGTCCAACACTCAGCGTCTTAAAATAACTGAGCAGAAGGTGCTGTCTTTGTAATTGCATCTGCAAATGGTTAGACCTTCAAGTCTTCTCAGACAAGGACTTAAAACCGTCTATCCTCACTATATAACCCTGTATAAGGCGGACATAAAAGATCCATTGAAGACGCTGGTGACGACCATCTTCAGTGCCCGTGCTAACCGGCTGCCTTATCAATTGGGTCGCAAGGCCTGTTAGGCATCAAGTTGTCCACCCAGGAGTGGTAAACACATTAGATGGTTGTCATCCACACCAGCCTTAATCAACTATTAAAACTATTGGTTTGGGTTGTTGAATATATTAATGGAAGATACCTGGTCACTGAACAGCTGACTGGATATTCATACCTACACTTCATTGATATAAGAAATCAAAGTACCTGAATTTTTTCTTGACTCATCAGACAGTTAGCCATAGTTTGGTATGCATCAGGGTTGCTAGGGTCATATTCTACTGCCTTCTGGCAACATTCAAAGCACTTGTTCTCTGCCTCAGTATCAAAGCTTTCATTGATGGAAGGTAATATTATTAAGATCATAATATCTAAATTATTGTTAAATTCAGTGAATCAAATTGCAGTACAGTAGCTCAGGGCTTGAAATAGTGACCAGACATTGGACAATGTTGGGGCAGAATTGTATCCTGTGCTCTAGAGGTTCTATTTTGCTTCCTGTGGTTGTAATGAGGGAGCACCAAAAGTCACTTCAAAACAGCAAGCGCCAAAGGTCATGTCAAAACAGCAATTGTCACGGTGAGAATAAATGACATCTGGACCTCAGGATACCAGAACTAGAACCAGTCTAATCTTTGCTTTGCCTATCATTTTGACCAGTAACGTTTGGCCAGAAATAAGGTATGACTAGGCTAAAACTAATTTGGCCTGTGATCATGACCGGCAACAGATCAGCTGTTTTTTTAAGCCCTGGTAGCTAATTTAATTCATTTTTTTCTGATCTGAATTTTTACATTATACTTACCATTCGTCTGTCATGTAGATTTCTGCTAAAGAACAGTATGCTGTAGAAACATCATTAGGACTGACAGTGTCTGATTTGGCAGCTCCCTATCAAATATAAGAAAATAATTTTTAATAATTTTGAAAATAGAACCCAAAATATTTTCAGTAACCTCGAACATAGTGAAACATGGATGTACAACCAGTCTGTAATAACCACATACTAAGTGACCAAAATGTATATGATGTACATATATTCTAATAATGGAATATATATATATWTTTTTATTTAAACATATAAATTTTTTAAGTTTACTCCAAGGGCTTACAAGCTCCCTAGATGAGCTCGAATGAGAGCCCTTGGAGTAAACTTAAAAAATAAAAGATTTACACATTTGGATGTGGAGTACAAACACACACACACACAAAAAAAAAAAAAGAAGAAGAAAAAAAAAGCTAACAAAAAAAAGAAAACTAATGGAATATATATCACATAGATTCAAAGCATTAAAAAATAATTCCATACCTTTGAGCTTGAATTCATAGTTGATATCATTAGTTCAATGCCCTTAGTAAAAGCCTCAACAGCCTCTTGTCCTTGTAGAATCTGTCCAATGTACATGTACTTAGCATGGCCTTCATCAGGACACAATTCAATGGCATGTTGAAAGCACTTTGAATAGTCAAGTAATACTCAACAAAAGATATTGAAGCATTTTCAATATTATTTGCACAAATTAGCTGTACTTCAAAACCATTTGTTGGAGCTTGTATCATTGCATGTGTCAATTAAAGATGCAAAACCTACAGTAATTATTGATCATACTTTTGATTGGCAGCAGTAATATTTCTCGGTCATCAGTCGCTAGTATAGTCTTCTATACAGCTACTATCAGTGCAAAGAAGATCCCAAAATATACTGTTTAGGTCCAGAAAATTATTATCTTCCATAGAAGACTTCCCTTATATAAGTTCCAAGAAAGTGAACTGGTACCATTTCCAATGTTTGAAAACTCTAACAACACTTTATGGAAGAGAGATACAGCTGTATGCAGAATAGCATTTTTTGAAAAAAATTCAAAATCATATTATAAGGATACTTTCTTGGCCTTCTCAGCTTCACCTGTCTCTAAAAACACAGCTCCAGCAGTTTCGAGTAGTAATAAGTGATTGGCATCTAGTTCCAGTCCTCTTTCACAGAACTTCTGAGCCAATTGATAGTTAAATGTTTCCATACATTCTTCTATCTGAAATGGGAATTGTGTGAGAAATTGTTATATTACCTAGAAAAGGGGAATGGTCTGTTTGAGAGCTCAAGTCCATAGCTGGTAGATTACAAAAGGATAACTGGAAGTTATGACTAAAGATATAAGGAATGGATAGAAGGATGAGTAGATAATGGGATAAAGGTATGGATAGCAGGGAAACATGGGAAAATGAAAGGTACGATGAAAAAATGAATGATACACAAATGGGTTAGCAATAAAAGGCAAAGGAAGAACTCTGTAAGATTCAATTTATGCTTATCAGATATAATATGGAAGTGATGTACCTTTTGCAATAAATCTTCAACAGAATATGTTTTATTTTCCCCATTTTCATTGATATCTTGGCTTCCTGTACTCCCCTTCATATTATCACTACATGCAGCACTGCCATCTTGCATGTCCAAACAACATTGCTCTTTGTCTTCTTGGGTATTCTGGGAAACTTTATAGACATATATATAAAGAAAAAGCAATTTAATAATTTTCCTGATAGAGCAATTTCTTGATAGTTACTAGAATTTTACAACAAACTGTAGTTATTAATGGGCTGCCTGACTCAGCACTCCATGCATGATGCCCTTTCTCCGTGGTCATTCCCATTAGAGAAAGTAATCATGCAAAACCATTTCCGCAAAGTAGAAACTTGTAATCATGATTTCCCCATGCCACAGGCAACAAATTAATGGTTCATATTACAGTAATAACGTTACTTTTAGCAAGGTTTGCCTTGTGTATGGTGGAACGGGATTCATAAAATAATTGGGATACTATGTGCGCTATATGATAGGTCGAAAAACAATGTTTGATGAGAGTATCAAAACACGCTATCGTCACTTTAGCGCACGCGAGTATTGCAACTGTCAGATTTTAATCTATCGCGTGCGCTCATTGGTCAGTTTGAATAAGACGGCATGTAGGGAGAATTTACTTAAATTTGTTGTTTTTCAATCTTTTCATGAGTTTGTCATTTTATAAAACAAATCAAAAACAGTTTTCTGTGTTTGATACTCTGATCAAAACACTTGGGATGTTGGGAGAACACTTGAGAAACTGGAAACCACTCTGCTACGTGTCGTGGTTTCCTACGCTCCTCTTGTGTTCTCTCAACATCCCGCGTGTTTTCATCAGAGTATCAAACACGGAAAACTGTTTTTGATTTGTTAAATCTAAGTTAGCATGAGACCTCCATTTTGAGTTCCATTTCAAGGGGTTTGTAAACTTGTTCAAAAGTTGATTGTTAAGCTCAGGGAGAGCAGTATTATTCATACCAAATATGACATTTCAAAACTAACATCTAAAATAGATAATAACTTGATAATTTCATAATAACCAATAAATAACTTCAACTTCAGATTTCTTGACTAACACGTGGGCTGAACACGAAATTTCCTTTGCATAATATATTACGAACAATTTCTTATAAATTTAAATGGGAAATAGCTTATTAAGTAATTTAGCACAAGTTCTTACCTTTATTTGTTTTGGTAGGCTTTTTCTTCTTTTTCTTTCTTTCTTTACCCATGATCGTGAAAAACACGAGAACCAACAAATTGTAAACTCTTGAAAACAGTAGACCGCTGAGATGGGTAAAAGTATCTGAGGAAGGGGAGGGCAGAGGCCTTGATAGCATCAATTAATAATACTTACATAATATATTCGTTAAAACAGACTACAAAAGAATACTTGCTAAAATATTGTAAAGACAAATTATATAGCCCTGAAATTTATTTCAATCTCTGAGTTTTCACTATAATTTCTAGAAAATATTACCCTACCCCTGTGAGTAATGAAATCGCACTTCAAGGATCGCTGGCTCAGATTTATTCCAAGATGGCGGACGACGTTGCTTAAAAATGTTTGATAGGAATTTCTGATCTTTTCAATCAAATACAAATGAACTAAGCGCGTATAATCTGAATTTGAATTCTCATTTACAGTTATTGCATCAGTAGAAGCTAAGGAAATATGAGTGTATTCCTGAGTAACCTGCAAAAAAGAGTATTTTTTGACTCAGCTGTCCTGGTTCGAGATGCTAAATATCTCATGCAGTTACTTAGACTCGATAAGTTTGATGTTAGTGTTGTTTGTACCGGTGGCAAGCTGATCAAGAGTCTTAATCTGAGGTATAGAAAGAGGAACGTGCAAACTGATATCCTTGCTTTTCCTTACTTTGAGGTGAGATATTAAGGCATTTTAATTCAGGAACAGAAGTCGTAATCCTATTTTCCCTAAATTTTGGTAAAATCCCAGTCCTAGTAATGGGTTTTGAGCGATCCCATTTTATTTCCCATAATTGGCCCAAGCCCCTGTCCTGGTATATGAAACGTTATCTTTCCGTAAAAAAATTGGGTGAATCCCATTTCCCATTTACTCTTCCAGAATCCTCTGGTCTCAAATTTGGGAAGCATGGGTGGCGTGCAATGCTAATGCCCCATCTCTCGCAAATGATACCCGGGTTCGAGCCCTGCCAGGCTCAGTGTCATATGTGAATAGAGATGTTTGTTGTTTCTCTCCAGTGCTTTGAGTGGTTTTCCTCTAGGTTCTCTGATTTTTACTCCCTTCACAAAAAACAACTTCCAAATTCTATTGGGCTGCAAAACGTGTTTGGCATTATGGCATCCACTGAGAAGCATTAAATGCATTAGACACTATAGATACTAGTATAAATTATATATATCATTCGATTGGTTGATATGCACACAGATAATTATTCACAAGTAGCAGTTGATTAGTAATAGAGCGGATGCAATTAAACTGTGAAATAAAATCAAACTAAATACTAACTAATAGTATTTATTTAGTGACTAATAATAGTCACTATTACTCAACCAGAACATTCATCATACAAAGACAAATACAAAAGAGACCATTTGTGTCTTTTGTTTGATGAATGTTTAAGTTCTGGTTGAGTAATTAGTGACTATTAGTCACTAAATAGATACTATTAGTTAGTATTTAGTTTGATTTTATTTCACGGTTTAATTGCATCTGCTCTAATTATATATTAATCCCTATTTTTACTTTCCCTCAGAATGTCAAACCTGGTATCCTACCAAAACCCTCTAATTCACATGAATATAACATTGGGGACATTATACTTGGGATGCATGTTATTGAGAATGATTGCAATGAACAAGAGAAAAGTATGCATGAATACTTACCGGTAATGAACAATGAAATGCCAGATTTTAGCCGTGGTACAAATATAGATATTGTATATCCTTTATTTGATCAAACAAGTTTAAATATGGTAGCAAATTCTTATGTAGACCTGTTTATACTAATATTAGTAATATTGCAATAAGTGTTAGAAATAATATGTTAGAAATAAAATGCTAGAATAATATTAAAAAATAAGATTTGCTATTTATATCATATAACCACCAACTGGTTGGCTCAGTTGGTTGAGCATCAGACTTTTGTGCGGGAGGTTATGGTTCGAGTCCTGACTGGACCAATACTCAAGGTCTTAAAATAACTGAGGAGAAAGTGCTGCCTTTGTAATTACATCTGCAAATGGTTAGACTTTCAAGTGGCTCGGATAACCACTTTAAATGGCGGTCACGTCTCTCCACACTCTTCATTACTAACCAATATCGGAGGGACGTACAAGAATCACTGAGGATGTAAAGAAACCCTGGCAGTGATCACCCTCAGTGCCCACACTTCATACTAACCATCTCTCATGCTTGTAAATTGCATCAAAAGCAACTGATCTGTCGATCACAACTCAATGTAAAGCACCTCTGATTATATCCACATAGAAAGGGCGCTATATAAATCATAATTCATCATAAATGATAAATATTCCTTTTTGTCACAAACGAGAACCAAAGAGATTTTATCTATAATTTTATTTATATAATATTGTAGGCTTCATGAAGTCCTTTTCTTGACCTTACTTAATACACATAATATATTATGGGTTACAGTATAGGGCTGTCAAAAATTCTCCTTGATGCTAAATTGGCCACTTTACAAACAAGCAAGGGACAAATTTGAACATGATTGGATGAAAACAAGAAGAATTATTGCCTTTAAAAAGTGTCAAAAATTAAAAATTATCAAAAAGGCATTCAAATTTCAGACTTACAAAGATTGAGATGGTTTATCAAATGACAAAACTCTTTTGCTAATTAGATTAAAATTAAAATTCACCCCATTCTCTTGCCCATTTCTAAAGTAGCCAATAGGCATAATTTCTGGTCTCATATATTTTATATTTACCAGCTGAATGGCAAATTTTCAATAGAAATTTTTGTAGTTTATGTTGTTTTTGCTTGACTTCCTTTTATCTAATGAAACTAGGAGGAAATTTCAAAAATGGTATATTTTGACTCTAACATGAATTTTTATCTTCAAGGTGCTGATTGCGCATGGTTTATGCCATCTTTTGGGCTACACACATGATACCAAGGATTCCCTCATTCAGGTGATCAATATTATGCCTTTCTAATATAAATAGTTGTATACAGTTAGAGAATGCAGTCTATTTTTAGTCTATGAGCTGATCGAGGCAACAGTCACAACAGGGAAATCAGGCAACCGGTTACCAACAATATTATTGAATATAAATTGTTTACGCATATTTTTTAAGGGTTTCCATGCACCTTTGCAAGCTTTGGTTGATTGTAGTTCTACTGTATTGCTTGATTTTCCTGTTTCTGCAGTTGTCTCGTTCAGTGTGTAGCAATGAAAACAGTGGTAGAAGTAGGAAAGAGAAAGAGTAATTGGATGAAATCAAACTGCATTAAAGAATTTTTTGTGCTTTTTATTTTATTTTTAGATGCACAAAAAGGAATCAGAGATATTAACTGCATTTAATGAGCTGACAGGCTACAGCACAGCACCTTTGACACCCTCTGCCGACCTGATAGACAAGTGAGTGACTATTGAAGTATCTGCTTTGATAGAGAATCTGGAATCCTGCTTATATATGCCTCTTGTTAAGGGATTATTCAAAAAGAAATGTATCATACTTGCTGGATGGGAGGTCCAATATTGACACCAATACTGGAAAAGTGATTTTCAACATAAGGTCAAGTCTAAGCTGGCCAATCCCATGGTTTTGTGCAGTGATATTTATAGCAATAACAGATATCTGACTATTGCCTTTAAACAATTGTTGCATTGGGGTCAGTTTCTTTGTATTTCAATATTGTATCGACCCAAATGCCTTTACTTGAAACAATCATTTGAAGGCAATAGAGCTTAACTGTGTAACTCTGTTTTCCTCTAGTTCTAACTGTAGTTTTTTAAAATATTACATTCCCAACAATTATCTTGACAGAGGGGGATTGATGTAAAGGTGATTTTATATGACATATGAAATATAGATAAGTTATAGTGCTTGGGAACGAGGTTATTCTGGGCGAAAGACCCTTGGAATTAAATTCGGAAAAATTAAATTCCGACTTCGCTGGGAATCAATTGTATTTGAGTTGTGAGGTTTTGACTCCAAATCAAAAACTCTTAGCATGCTGCTGAAATTTGAAATTGCACTAAAAATCTTTCTAACTTTTCATGCAATAGAGTTGTGCAAATAATCTTCATTGCAAATTGTAGCTTGTGTGCATCCAGACACAGACCATCACTTAGGTTCATGTTTGTATGTAACAGTACTGCAATCTCCTCAGATTCATCTATGGGCGAAATCAGCTTCACAACTATTCTAGATACAGTGCGGAAACTCTAACCATGAACACTTCGAGGTTTTTTTGACATTTTTTCTACATTTTTACGACTATCCAATCAGCGATCTCCTTCTTAAAAGGAATGAAACAACTTTTAGGCATCATCCAATCAGAACACACGATATAATTGATGTGATTTAGTTTTTCAGTATTTCCCATGAGAAAGCTAAAAATAGAACTCCTAACAATTGTCGTGATTGGATAACGCATTAAATGAAGTTTGAAAAATGTTGAAAAAATGTCAAAAAAACCTCGAAGTGTTCATGGTTAGAGTATCTGCACTGTAACACATGGGTATTTTATCTTTCCAGGCCCGATGGTGAAAGATTCCTGGAATACCAATACAAACCACCAGTACCTGCTGGCTCTTCTAATGCTCGTTATGACAAAGTTTTACAAAGATATCTTGCAGAAAGTCAAAGGAAGAATTCTCCTGATATGGAGTAAAACAGAAATTATTCAAACAGAAACTAACATTCATCTTGAAACAAATGCAATTCAGTTGGTGATCCAGAATAACTTCAAGGGAGGTGATTGTTACCTAGAAAGTCATCACATAAAGTCCTCTTTAGGTCTTATCTTATCCTATGTTATCAATTTTCAATGGCCAAAGGAAGGTGACTAGTCATCACCCACCATTCCCCATCCTCCTTGGATCCTGCTGCAATAATCCCCCCCCCCCCCCCCCCCCCCCAAGAAACAGGACATTGATAGTATGAGCTGCCACTTCAAGATATGGTCAAATGTAAAAATATCCTTGGAGTATACTTTATAGTGATCATACTTTCTCTAAATCAAACTAGAGTGAAGTTATCAAACTCTAAAATAGATATTAGAGCACTACGCATTCACAGTGCAAACCATGTGCTAAACACATCTCTTGTTTTCAATTATTGATTCATTTTGTACTAATTAGTCTTTCCCACAGATATTTTATTTGCACTCTAGTAGACTCTAATTCCATTGTTTTGTTATGTGATTTGACTATCGTACGTTGACTAGTAATTTTTATTTCACAGGTTAATTGCCTTCACTCTATTAGTGCTAATATTATCCAATTAGTCATTCTGAGGTCGAGTAAAATATTTGGTTGAGTTAGCATTTGCAGTACATTGTGGAAATGTATTGACCTATAACATGATGTCACAGCTTGTTTACATGGGCAAGAATGATAGGAATTTAGGCAAAATTTTCTTTCGTTTGGGATACCTAGTACAACATTTATCTGTTATCACTTTTCCCCATCTAATTAACCATTTTTTATTGTGATTTAATTCGTTTTGCTGCTATTTTGCCCCCTCTGGCGACCATGATCCTTAGTGTTAAAAAATAGATTGTTTTGATGTGATATCATAGTGTTATAGGGCAATTAGTGACATTCCCAAGAAGGCATTTATTTTGTCCCTTAAAACAGTTCCTCAAAGTACTGCAAGCCAATGCTAAACCAAACTTAGAGTGGCTAATTAGTGCCTTTCTGGTTGTTGCAGTATGTGAACACATCCATTCTTATTTATTTATTATTCCCTTTCACAAATAATTACACAGCTAATATATCAAATGAAAGCTATAAACCCAAATGTCTGGCTGAGTGATCAAGTATGAAACCATGTGAGTTGAGGCTCCGAGGGAACAAAAAAAATAATTACAATTCCCCAGAGCTTCGACTTGAAATGTTTTGTGCTTGACCGCTTAACTATAATATTGAAAGTTGGCTGTTGGATAGTTATGAATGTAAAGTGTAAATAGATGGAATGTTTTTTTGTAAAAAAAAAAAAAAAAAAAAAAGAATCCATACAATAACTTTATGTTTCATTTTTAATACTTCTTGTTGAAAATTAATGCTGAGAAACAGTCATGTAAGGTTACATTTTGCACCCTGCTTTATAAGTGACAGACTACATTGAATAGAACTTCCAAATCCAGTTTTACCTTCAGATAAATACTACAGTTCCAAGTACAAGCTTACTGATAAAAATGCTTCTTTTACCTTTGACATGGAAGCACTGCTATGAAAGCCTGAACAAAAACTGACCTCCATAATTCTCAAGATACATGTACTAACTTATCATATACTAACATCTAACATAATCGAAAGCATGTTTTCTTTTTCCTCACAAGTTACCAATATGTACTGAGAAAGTTAATGATCATTAAGAGGGTCTAAACGCTGAGGGATAATCTGAGAGCATAGAAGCACACTAACGTTCCTTTTGCCTTCTTTCCAAAATATCTTAGAAGTCTGAAAGCATAAAATACTGTTTTATGATGCTAGTGAACTTGATATTGAGGTTATGGAGGGAAGGGATGAACCAACAAACAGTGGAAATTTTAGTCTTCTAAGTCTGGTAGCTCTGCAGAAATACAAATAAGCATTTTATCAAATCAAAGACATCTAAGTAACAAGACCACAAAGATCCAAATTCAGCTTTCATCCACCAAACTTATGAATAATAAAAATAGCTAAAATCCAAGCATTTTGAGTCACAAGAGCATGAAAACAGCTCATAGTMAAAAACAATAAAATGAACCTAGTACCTTCATCATCACTGTCATCTGAGTCAGCTTCACCAGGATCAAACTTTTCCTAAAAATACATGAATATTAATTAAAAGTTTTTTTCATTCGCATATATCAAATTGAAATATGCCGAACATTTGAATAACTCTTTTTTTCTCTTGTACTTGTGAAAAACTTTGACTATTATACACTAATTACTATCAATTATTGTTTCATAGTCTAAGGAAAATCGCTATAACATGCATATAAATATGACTCCTCGAGTGAATGTATTAGTAATAATTGAATACTTACACCCAATCCTGACGATCCCATGTTTTTCATCATCTAAGAACATTAAAGCGTAAAATCAGCATGCAATATACACAGCACTATGTTTACTGCATTTCTTAAATGTTATGTTCATATGTATTGCATATTTGTAAATATTAGTTGATTTTATAGTCCTGCATATTACTGATCTATGATTATGATCTTTTGTATTTAACTACTGTAATTGTTATTACATATTTAAGATGAATTATTATCGATTGATTGATTGAATGTTATAGAAGCTGTCTTTTGAAATTGTTTCCCTGCTGTCAATCAAAAGTACAAGCATTCAGAAACTCTTGATTGCAGCAGCGAAATAACCACATTTGGACCAATAGTTTAAACATTCAAGTTGTATATAGCTTTGAAAATTAGAAGAAAATGTAGCAGAGTATTTAGTATGTTTAAGTTTAATTCCTATTCCAAGTATATAGTCCATGCAATTACCAATAATATTGCATGGACTTGGTCAACATATGTGACTTTTGGTTCTGAGACCCAGATATCAAGAGGATTGATAGGCTCTCAGAATAAGGATGGCCAGTTTAACTAGAACCTGTAGAGTCTTTTTATACCAATCATGCCTAAACCATGAGTATCATCATAACCATAAGTGCATCTCTATCAAACTACAAGTAGAAGTTGGCTGTTGACTAATGATCGACAAAGGGGATTATACATGTCACTTACATCTTCCAAATTTCTATTGTCAGTATAGTTATCCTCTATGTCTGAATCATCTTCATCCCTCCATCTATTGAAATCAACTCTGACATAATGTGGCTGTAAAAATAGAATAATTACCAGAAAAGAAAAATGTCAAAAAAATGAAAAAAAAAGTCAGGATGATATCAAATACCAGCATGGCTACAACTTCAAATGGTGGAATGGCTAGAGTCAAATTAAAAGTAATTAGTGATCAAATATATTAATAATACATATTAATATATTAAATTTTATCACTGATGTGTTAACAGTTAACCAAATATTACCATACCTTTTTGGTTTCCTTCAGCAACCTTGGCCAGAAAGGTCCCTCATCTTTCTTCTTTATGTCAAAATATATTTCTCGGCCCCCTACAAGCTGTTTTGATTCCTAAAACAGAACCAAGTATTGTAAGTACACAGGTCATTTAAGGACCACAAAGCAAATAAAAACTCGGGGCTGCATGTAGTTTCATGGATTTGGAAGATTGTGCAATTAGGATAAAATGGTCTATATTATTGAAAAATAGAAAAGGTGTATATGTACTGTGTGCAGTTATAAAGTGCGGGGGGTTAGCAGAACACTTCTCGACACTTCCCAAGTGCTTCATAAATCCACACACCACAGCAAGCAAGTCTTTTATTTCTTTTATAAAATACGAATTACAGGAATGACAGTGTGCTCTCAGAAAGCACATGCTCACAACCAATCAGAATGTAAGATTTAGAACAGTTATTTTATAAGTTTATGTAATAAACGTACAAAGTTTGGGAAAATAAAAGTACAAAATTCTGATCCTTTGGAGAGGAGGGAGTGTTGATTTTTCGGGACATTAATATTTTATTCCGACACAGGAAACCCAACTTAGCATATTCAAAACTGGACATTAGTTTGAAAGCTCATCACAAAGCATCCTTTATATTTGATATATGAAACACGTTTCTTAAAATAATAATCTAAAAATATGACCCTTTTTGAAAGTTTTAATTCTTCAAAAGTTCTCGTTATAAATGGCGGAAGTGAGGTCTGTCCTAGTCTCATTGTCTTTTGTATCAAAATGATCTGCCTAGATTTAAGGACACTTGAAAGCCAAATAATAAGATTCCGACACTCCAACATATCTAATACTAAAATAAACTGAAGCTTTGTGAACTTCCTGGAGTGTGATCCACCATGGAGTTATATATGAATCTATGCATAACTTTACTAACTTACCTTAGGATCAACCTCGTTGTAAAATTCTAATTCTACCTTGTAAAGCTTTTGTTCATGACCACCCTTGGAACTACAAATACAACAATAAAGAGTCATGATATGCTATCAAATAAAAAGTTTTTTTTTGAATTTGAACACGAATCCATCCAAGAATAACTTACCTGAATGTGAGCTTTGTCTCAGTTAACTTGATCTCAGGGTTTTTACAATCTTCTAGTGAAATCGTTACGAGAACGCGGTCTTTTCTTTGTGCCCATAAAATTGGAGGATGAAGTTCTCTTTGAAATGCAAACAACAATACTATTAGTACATCATCTTGGTGTTTAGAAGGAGAAAAGTCAGGCACTTACGAGTCCATTTTGCATTGAATTTTTGACGAATGTTCAAAAGAGTTAGTCAGACGTCCATGTGATGGCTGAAGGAGAGGTCATGGATACGAGTACCAGCATGCCTCAGGTACTTACACAGGGAGCCCATTTTTAATAGAATGCATGGAGTGGGACCATGGAGTGCGCTGGTATGCATGTTTATTGTGCTAATGGTACAGTTCATTAGCGGGACGCTAGCATAAATTCAGTCATAGAGTATGAATATGCATTCCCGTCCTACGATTTAAGCTGCTAGTATAAGGGGTTATTCTCGACTTTCACATCCCCATAATGCCTTGCGTTTTTGGGGGGTAACCAATCAAAAAACTGTCCCAAATTGAAGGTTTCTTAATTGAATTTATACTATACCTGCTTTTATCTGTACAATGCTGATTATCAGTTTATTCCAAGTTATTTTTGCGTGTACAGATCATGAAGAGTTTTGACAGAAAATGTATTGATTTACGAAAAAATGTTTAAAATTTGCCTTAAAAGTCTTCAAGCTTCTATCTTTTTCTGTTTTTTACTTCTTCATTTTATCTTTGGATACCAAACAAGGTATTTTCAACATTGTCTGCCCCCATTTTTTATACTAGTATCTCATATTTCCCAATCTTGTCCCCCCCTCCACTTTTTAGGGTGTTTTGCAGTCCTTGATGAGCATGTCTTGTTGAATGAGTTGGAATAAAGAGTAGCACGCTTCGTCGTGTGGACACACTCCCACAATTCACTCTAGTATTACATGATAAATGTTTTATATTCGGTTGAGGGGGTAAACGAATTAGAGTCAAAGTTTATGACTTTCCCGCTTCTTCGGCCCTTGCTCAGGAATACGAAAAAGACATGTCAGACATCGCCCTGTAAAAAGACCTCAAATTTATGCATAGGTTTGTAATCTTATTTTTTTTGATTTGGGAGGACCGTAAAATATACGCGGTCCCTCCCAATGCACCTCTTTAGCTTGGGCGTAAAGTTTTGCCCATTTCAGACCATAAGTGTCATTTCCTTGGGTATCATTTCTTTGTTTGGATGCAAATAAACTAAGAATCCTATTCTCAAATGAATGACACGTGATCTGAAATAGGGCAAAACAAATGCCCAAACTAAAGAGGTTTATTTGGAAAAGAAACGCAACATCTCAATTCGAAGTAAGACAGATTTGTCATACAAGTTAACAATTTACTTATAAAACACTGCGACAGCCGGTATAAAACGTAAAAACATACTAAAAAGTGTAAAAAATATTATACATATATATATATATATATATACACTCGATTGCAGGAACGTTGTAGTATACATTTATACATTTATACAAATACCTAATGAGATGCAT